TAAGACGAACAGTGCGGGGTTAGGGGGACCTCGCTCTAAAAAAAAAAAAAAAAAAAAAAAAAAAAAAAGAAAGAAAGAAAAGAAACTGCTGTACAAGGTGGTACACACTTGTGATCCCAGCATTTGGGAGGTTGAGGCAGGAGGATCACAAATTTCAGGCAAACCTGGTCTACAAAGCAAGCCTCTACTTCAAAATACCAAAAGGAAAAAGAAAAGAATTCTGCTGCATGCTATTGTACGTATGAACCTTGAAAGCATTCTCCATGAAATTCAGGTACAGAAAGTCAAATGCTTTCATGACTCTACTTGTATGAGATACCCAGAAAGGTCAGTGGTTTTCAGAACCTTCGGTGAGGAAGAAATGGAGTACTGATACTTGAAAGGCATACCATTTCAAGTTTTTTAAGGTGAAATGAGCTCTAGAGGTAGGCTTCACAACAGTGTGAATGCACTTATCACTTCTGAACTGTGTATTAAAAAGTGCTCAAGGGGCTGGAGAGATGGCTCAGCAGTTAAGAGCACTGACTGTTCTTGCAGAAGACCCGGGTTCGAATCCCAGCACCCACATGGCAGCTAACAACTGTCCAGTTCCAGGGGATCCGACAGCCTCTTCTGACCTCTGTCATTTCATGACATGAATGCACCTGCATGGACACATACAATACACACATACAGATAAAATAAAAATAAAAAAGCAAATAAAGAAAAATTGACTTAAAAAAAAGTTTCCTGGCCAGAAGCTTAGATGTGACCCTGGTTCCTGCTAGAAATACTTAAAAGGTTCCCAGTGCTCTAGTATCATTGCTCTCCACCCTAGCTTCCACCTCTCGACATGGATGCACTTACCTACATGCAGGCAATACATGCATACACATAAAAATAATAATTGCTCAAAATGAAAAAAAAAAAGGATGGTACATTTTGGTTTTTTAGATAAAGATCTTGTGTTGCCCAGGCTGGCCCCAATCCTCTGGACTCAGGCAATTCTCCTGCTTACTACCTTCTCCCCAACCCTCAACAGTTAGGCTTCTTAAAGACACCCAGTTTTGAAGATGGTAAATAGTACATGTATTTTACCAGGTTTTTTGTTTGTTGTTTAATGTTTAAAGCGAAACCATTGCTAATGATCAGGTGACAGAGGTGATAGAAGACCAAGCCACAAGTCTCAGCCTCTTGCCAAGTGTGCCTGGCAGAAAGAGGAGCTGAAGGATGCACACACGGGAGTTCAGACAGACCCTGGGGACACCCCAGCCAGGATCCCATTTGCAGGTGTTTCAGAAAGAAACGGCACAGAGCTGGGGAATGGGCAGAGGGAAAGAAGCACCTTAATATTTACTATGTGTTCACTAAATGTCTGCTATACACAAGAAGCTTCTGCATTGATCACTGTACCATTTAACACTTCCAACCAATGCAGTCAGCCCCATTTTACAGCCGGGCAAGCCATGGCTGAAAGAGACAGGTACTGATAACTGAGCCTATCGCACAACATCATTGGCTCCCTTTGATGTCTCCATTCCTCTCCAGGGCTCCCCCTGTGAGAGGAGGAATATGGCTCTCCTATGAGGAAGAACCCAAAAGATACTCACCTACATATTCATCCATGTTGAAGGTTTTCACATATTTAAAGGACAGGTCCCCATTCTTATAGTACTCAATCAGCTTCTGGTAGCAGCCAAGCGGGGTGCTCCCTGCAAGAGGCCTCTGTCAGAACACCAGCACAGCTGCAAATGCCCTTCAGCTCCCAGCTACCAGGTTCCTAGAACCAGTGAAGGCTTTTCCAGGAGAACCTGTCAGGTCTGCAGTCCTAACAATTCCACCTGCCATCCATCCACTACCTGCTCAATGCCTACTTCCCACTAGATTGCAAGCCCCAGGGGACAGGGCCATGTCAGTCTTGTTGATTGCTAAGTCCCTGGAACCAGACACACGGATAACTGAAATCACTCTGAATAGGTCCTAAGTGAATGTCAGACTTGATTACTGATATGATATTCTCTGAGCATCAACAATGTGTAAGGTGCAGGGCTGTGGATGGGGAGACAGGGACAACAGCTACTACAGAAGGGACCACTGTCTAGGAGTGGGGACAGAGCAGCACTGTCGGCCATACAAGGTCACTCTATCATCAGGTTTCTGGGAAGATTTCCCGGAGCAACAGCAAACTCCTGAGTCTCATTAGTTAGTCTACCCAAAAGGCAGGAAGACTATAATAAACTAGAAAGTAAAGATCTGAACTGTGGGTATAGCTCAGTGCTGGCCCCATCTCCAGCACTGCAGGAAAAGATACTAAAACCCTGACTGAATATTGGATTAATTTAAAGCTAACCATCCATAAGTGATCAAAGAAAGGGAAGACAGTTTATTAAACTTAAAGACCTAGGTATAGGGCTGAAGAGATTACTCAGCAGTTAAGAGCACTGGCTGTTCTTGCAGAGGACCCGGGTTCAGTTCCTAGCACCCATACGGTGGCTATCAATTGTCCGTACCTCCAGTTCCAGGGGATCTGACACCGTTTTCTGACCTCCATGGGCACTGCATGACATAGACACAGGCAATACACTCATACATGTAAAATAAAAATGAAGTATTTTTTTTAAGACCCAGGTTTAGCACGCCTTTAATCCCAGCACTTCGGAAGCAGAGGCAGGCTGATCTCTGTGAGTTGAGGCCAGTCTGGTCTACATAGTGAGTCGTTCCAGGTCAGCTGGTGCTACAGGGAGACCCTGTCTCAAAAGGACACAAAAAAAGATACCCAGGTTTAATTCCTAGCCAGGCCTATGGATAACGAAAAGAAAATAAAAAACTAACTATTTATCCATCCATTCATAACAGACTATGGCCAGGCATGGTGTCGCCCACCTTTGATCCCAGCACTGAGGATGCAGAGGTAGGTAAATCTCTATGAGTCTGAGGCCAGCCTGGTCTATATTAACAGGTTCCAGGCCAGCCAGAGCTACATAGTGAGATCTTGTCTCAAAAGAAGAAAAAAGTGATTAATGTGGACAATTAGGAAAAGTTTCTGAAGAGTTTGTACATGAGATGATACTGCAGAATTAGATGATAAGGCAGATCTTGTCTCAGGGCCACAATGGTTACTGGGCTATGGAAGGAACATGCCCTTATTCTCAGGAGATCGGGCTGAAAGATTTAGTACTGGGATATCTGGAACTTACTTTTATGTGGTTCCAAAAACAAAAAACACAACAAATTATATGTATAGAGAACATGAGCCAGAGGAAAACATGTGGCAAGAGAGTAACGGTTGGTCAATGTAGGTAAATGGTATTACACTGTTGATTGCAACTATTTTTGAACATTTGAAAGATTTCAAAATAAAAAGATGGAAGGAAAAAACTCAAATGTATCCACACAAGACCAGGTCACTGTCTTTTCCACACCCGTGAACAGTCGTGCTGCTTGGCCTACACGGGGCAGTTCACTTCAAGGCCTCTGTACCCACTGTTACCTCTATAACCAGTGATCTTCCTTTACGTATCTTCAAGGCGAACTCCCCTCTTCAGGCTTTTTCTCAAATGTCACTTTCTCATAGAGACCTTCTCTGAACACAACTCCCACTATGCACAATTCCCAGCCTTTCTCCTGTGCTATTTTTCTCCCTCTCATCGTCTTCTAAAATCTCTACATTTTGCTAATTAGCTTATTTATTATCTGTCATTCCCATTATAATTTAAGCTTTAGATAGTATGAATTTATACTTTTTTGTTGTTGTACCATAAATGCTTGGTTTACAGTAGGAACTAAAAAAAAAAAAAAATCCAAGTGACTGACAGTGGCAGTACCCACATCCCACTCAAACCACCAACCAGTTCCTAAATTCTTCAAGGAAACCTTGTGTAACAGAGGGTGGACACATCTTTTTGTTTAGGGGTGGGGGGTTTGACACAGCGTCTCAATCCAGGTTGACCTTGAATTTGAGGCAATCCTTCTGCCTCAGCCTCCTGAGTGCTGGGATTACAGGCATGAACCACTACATGTGGCTGAGGGAGCCACAACTTGAGAGGGCTTGAGCTTTATTCTGTGGATCTCAGATCTGATCTGTCCTGATGGGAAGTAGGAGGAGTTGATGCAGAGCCCAGCCTGACCAGGTGGAGGCCACAGGATGTTAACATTGCCCCACAGATAGGCATGGTGGCAAACGCCTTTTATCCTAGCACTTGGGATGCAGAGGCAGGCGGATCTCTGTGAGTTCAAGGCCAGCCTGGTCTACATAGGGAGTTCCAGGCCAGCTGGGGCTACTGGGAGACCCTGTCTCAAAAAACACCAAAAAAAAAAACCCAAAACAAAACAACAACAACAACAACAACAAAAAACACTGCCTCCATAGGGCTGAAACACTGGATACCTTAGTTATACTGGACACCTTAGTTACACTGGAAATGGGTACTGAGAACATAACTTGGGTCCTCTGCAAGAAGGGAGTAAGCACTCTTAACCACTGAACCATCCTCTCCAGCCCAAGAATGGTTTTTATTTTTACTTTTTATTTATTTATTTATTATTGGTCTTTTTGAGACCAGGTCTTCCTATAACCTCAGCTGACCTGAAACTCACTATGAAACTAGGCTAACCTCGATCTCACAGAGGTCCATGCCTGCCTCTGCCTCTTGAATGCTGGGATTAAAAGCATGCATCACCACACCTGGCCCAAAACGGTTTTTAAATTTTCAAAAAGTTTTTAAAAATCAAAAGGGTATTTTATGACATATGAAAGTTACATACATTCAAAATTGAGTGTTCACAAAGTTTTATTGGCATACAGCCACACTCCCTTACTTACATATTGTCTATGACTGTTCTCATTGCTACAGTGGCAGAGTTGAGCTGCCAACGATGAAGCCTGAAATATTTACTGCTAGGCTATTTACTGTAAAAGTCTGAAGGTCTCTTTCTAGTGTTCAGTGGTCATAAAACCATTGGGGCCAATCTACCCACTCCTAAAAATATTAAAGATACTTTTAGAGACTGTGGCCAAATTATCTTCCTGCAAAAGCAGCATTCTGACCCATTATTATTATTATTATCATTATTATTATTATTATTATTATTATTATTGGGGGGGGTATTATGAGACAGGGTCTCACTATGTGCCCCTGGCTGGCCTGGAACTCAATATGTAGACCAAACTGGTTCAAACTCACAGAGATCTACCTGCTGCCTCCTGAGTGCTGATATTAAAGTGTGTGCCACCACACATGACCTGACCTTTTTCAGAAGAAATTGGGAATAGTTTTATCAATTAAGCTTTCTAAGAAATTATTTGAGTGAGCAACTTCTCTCAATTACCCCATGAATAGTACTTAGCTAGTAACCCCCCTACATGCAGAGAAGAAAAATGAACTCATCTCATAAAATGATTGCCGTGGTCTCCGACTGAAGAAATGGCTCAGTAGTTAAGAGCACTGACTGCTCTTGCAGAGGACCTGGGTTTGATTCCCAGCATCTACATGGCAGCTTACAACCATCGGCAACTTCAGTTTTCTTCGGTTTCAGGGGATCTGACACCCTCTTCTGACCTCATCATCAGGCACTGCACTTACACACATGTTGGCTACACACTCATAAAAAAAATATTTTATTTAATTTTTTGTTGTTTTTATCTTTTTTGAGACAGGGTCTCCATGTAGCCCCAGTTGGCCTTGAACTCGCTATGTAGACCAGGCTGGCCTGGAACTCACAGAGATCCGCCTGCCTCTGCCTCCCAACTCCTGGGACTACAGGCCAACCACCACACCTGGCAATAAAATATTTTTAAAAACTGATTGCCTTAGGAGGCTGGAGAGATGGCTCAGCAGTTAAGAACACTGGCTGTTCTTGCAGAAGACCAGGTTTGAATCCCAGAACCCACATGGCAGCTAACAACTTTCTGTAACTCTAGTTCCAGGGGATCCGACAGCCTCTTCTGTCCTCCTCCCGCCTTGCGTGACACGGGTGCACTTACACAATACACACATACACATAAAAACAAATAAAATTAAAAAAAAAAAAAGATTGCCTTAGGATACCAGGGCTGAGGTAGGGGGTAGCTCCGGCCTAATCAAGATTCTATGGTAACAGGCAGCCCCTACCTCAACATAAAGGAATCTGGGTTCTCCCCTCTTGTCTGCCGAGGGTGCCTGGGGTTATCCCACAGCATAAGTCTCTCAATCCCACCTGTTCAGTCCCTGGGATAAGTAAGCCCATGATTTTGACCCCTTAACAGACTCCAAGGAACTCTCTTTCCACCCCTGTCCATATCACCCTCTCCATTCCACAACGCACCTGTAGGGAGCCCTAAGGTGAAGTACTTGTCTGGTCCTGGGTTAAACTGAATGATGCGGTTCCTGATGTACTTGGCTGCCCACTCACTGGCCTGAGAATAGTTTTCCAGGATGATGAGCTTCATCTCGTCCTACAGTGAGGAGACAACAAATGCAATCAATGGAAAGGGCAGGGACCAAGGGACAATAGGAACCTGGGGAGAGGGAAGAAGTCCCCAGAGCCCGGCAACAGCCTCTTTCAGGGCACAATTTACACGGGGGACTCGCTGGGCACCTCTACACCCACCAGGAGGCGCTACTGTAGGGTCAGACATTGCCTGTAACCCCTGCTATCGGTTACCAGGGGACCTCACAAGGCAGCCGAGTTTTCTGGGCCTGTTTCTCGTATGTAAAATGGGGAAAGTAGTACCTGCCTCCTGGATTTCACGATGGGGACTGGTAAATGACTGCACATAAGCCACCCTGTTGGCCACTATCATCTGGTAGCTCAACTCAGCCCCTGCCCACTATCCCACTCTCCTCCAGGCTGGATCCTCTGCCCCACTGGCTTTTCGTCTTCCAAGGTGCCATGGGGTCACCTTGGAGCTAGAGGTGACTGCGGCACAGCTCGGCAGGAGGAGGTGTGTCCTCTTTCAGTCCTAAGGGTCGGGTGCTTCCCGCTCGCCAACTTGGTGAAGCCTTCCTCAGGTTCCCCAAAGGCACAATGGAATACAGGTACCCAGCGGAAGGGTGGGGGGCGTCTGGCTGCCCCGCGGTGTGCGTTGGAAGGCCCGGGCGGAGTCAGCCCGCAGGGTCCAGCGTTCCCCCGAAGGGGGCCGCGAGCGCGTCGCCCCTCCGGCCCGCTCCGGCTTGCCGGGGTCCAGCGCCAGGAGTGGCAGAGCACCTGGCAACGCCCGCGACCCCCGGTCCGAGGACCGACCCACCCGGCTTGTCCCCACTTACGCCAAGGCCTCCCGCGATTGCAGAGGTCCCGGGCGCAGGCGGCCCTGCCCCGCGCCGGTCACGTGGCTGCAGGTCACGCGGTGCACACGCCGCGGGGCTGACTCAGCGGGCGGCCCTCCCTGACCATGCGGCCCCCGCCCCTGGCGAGCCGGTCGAGAAGAGCCTGTGGGGACTGGACACCCGGTGGAGGCGGGCCGAGCCAGAGGAGGGGATGTAGCTTCTGGAGAGCGGAGCAGGGGTGTGTCTAGGTGTCATTTTTTTGTTTGTTACCCGCTGCAGCAAATGGGTTTTTGTTTGTTTTGTGGGATGTTTGTTTAAGACAAGGTCTCCCCGTAGCCACACCTGGCCAAGAACTGCTTTGTAGAACTGACTGGCCTCGATCTCATAGAGATCCGCCTGCCTCTGCCTCCCGATTGCTGGGATTAAAGGCGTGCCACCACACCTGTGGCAGCAGGAAATCTACTTGAGGGCTGCTGACTGTGCAGCCAGAGGCATCCCTCTCAGTCTAGGCGCTGGGCGTGAAGGCTACCACAAAAAAGTACACAGAAGCGATTAGTGAGTTTATTGATTAAGCCTTAAATAAGGTGCACTCAAGTATAGGCCTTAGGAGGGGACCAGCCAAACTGCCTAAGCGGTATGTGGATGCTAGGGCTTTGACACTACTAAATGAGGCTACCTTTAGATGTTAGAGGAAGTGGATACTGGTGTACTCTTTCTTAATCCACAGAATTCTGACCAACAGGAGACTTTTTCTAAGGTACCGTTGGGCAGACTTGTGACTACAGAGGGGAGTGTGAGTAGAGATAAAATACTGGTCAAAGGGCTCCTTGGTCACAAGGAGGTTAGACATAAGAGTTCACTGCCTTTTTTTTTTTTTTTTTTTTTTTTTAAAAAAAAAAAAAAAAAAAAAAAGAGACAGGGTCTCTGTAGCCCCAGCTGACCTGAACTCACTATGTGGACCAGGCTGGCCTTGAACTCACAGAGATCCACCTGCCTCTGCCTCCTGAGCGCTGGGACTAAAGGCGTGCGTGACCACGCCTGGCAGTTCATTGCCATTTTAATAATCTCATTTGTGATGGCTTCTTAGAGGGTACACAATTCTTCACAGATAGTCTGATTACTTATTTCTAAATTACTGAGTGACAGCAAGGAAGAGACAGAAATGAAAACCAGGAGAAAAGAAGAACCCTTGGCATTCTCATGGCTTATTTCCAAACTAGCTCTGTCAGATCTTTGCAGCTACACACACACACACACACACACACACACACACACACACACAGCCCAAAGTAATGATTGCTAGCATTGTCCATTCAAGATTGTTTTTCTGCTGGGCATAGTGGTGTACACCTTTAATCCTAGTGCTTTGGAGGTAAAGGCAGACAGACTCTGAGTTTGAGACCAGCCTGGACTACATAAGAGAGTTCCAGACCAGCTGGGAGTGAGGAAATTAAGGCTTAGAGAGAGAACTTAACTTTGAAAGCTCAAATGGCTTTCGTAAGACTTCAAGTCAGAAGGATCTGTCCAAGTTTGAAAGCTTTTGCCCCTGTCTCCCATCTGCTGTGACAGCAGATTTTAGACACTTTATGTACCAACAAATGATCTATTTTATTATCCTTGTGAGTGCATATGTGTGTGTTCATTAGTGTGTGAGTATATATGTGCACACATGTATATGTGTTCATATGTGTGGAGGCCACAGATCGATGTCAGGTGTTATTACTCAGGAACTATCCACCTTATTTTTGAGACAAAGTCTCTTACTGGAACCTGGGGCTCACTGATTTAGCAAGCCCCAGGAATCCTTATGTCTCTACCCACCTAGTCCTGGGATTACAACCACACCTAGCTTTTTACATGGGTGCTGGGATTGAATTTGGTCAGCAAGGCCTTTACCACCTGACCTATCTCCCTAGCCATCATAGTCTCCATCTTATTCTTTCAGGTCAACATTGGACTATAGCAGTCTATTCTAAGGGTATTTGGGGACTGTCTATAGTTAGGTTAGGAGGAAGGACTTACATGGTCATCAGAAACACTATACTATACACTTCTACTATATAGGGCTTTGCCAAGAGCTTTGATGCCCCTAGTTTCGAATGATCCCACTCAATAGGCAGGTGTGATTATTAACATTTTATAGACGTAGAATCGGGGCTCAAAGTAGTACAGATTCATATGTGGCCTCTCAGTATGGGACATTCTGGACCATGGTAAGCTCTCTGGAACAGCAAAGATATCTCCTAAATTAGTCTAGCCTCCAGCATCAGCATCCTGGCCTCTCCCCTGGTGGCATGGCCTTTCTTCAATCATGAGGTGGTCACATTTCTTTAGTTCTCTTGACTGGGTTTACGTTGGACAGCTCCAGGGCCTCATTTGCCTGTTGGGCCAGCAATAGGACAGTCTCATGAGGGGTGGGCTTTGTGGTCTGAGACCCTGCTGAGACCAGGAGTGCTAGACACCAGGGAGGCTAATCTTCACAGTCTGGAGAACTTGTTCTTTGGCCTCAGTGTTGATGTAATTTTTATCTGCCTTTAAGTTTCATCAGAAATCTTTTCTCAGTATGAGGATTGTAGATATTTTACAGTAAAGTTCCAGCCCCAACCTCTAAATACATCAGATAGCACAGGCCTGGCCTATCACTCAGCTCTTCCCAAAAGGAGACTTACTTTACTCCAGGCGGCTTACACTGACCTGGTCTCTCCTGAGTTACCCCTTCCTGAGAGAACCAGTGCATGGCTTTTATTAATTAAGCCTGAAAGCCCTAATGCCAGCCAGCCTGGGGACTAATCAGAAAAGTCTTGGATTGAATTCTGGTCTGGCGAGTCTCTGGATCTTGAGGAAGTAACTGAAGCAAATGAACAGCTTCTCCTGGTCTTGATTTTCTTAGATGGCACATGGAGAGTGAGTGGAACTTAAGTTAATAATGCCCTGTGTCACTGTTGTATTAAGTGAAGAATTAACACAGTGTAGCACTATGGTGGTTTGGATGAGAATGTCTCCCATAGGCTCCAAGTATTTGAATACCTGGCCCTAGCTGATGGAGCTGTTGAGAAGGTTTAGGAGGTGTGACCTTGCTGGAGGAAGTATGTCACTGGGGATGGGTTTTGAGGGTTCATAGCCTTGTCCTACTTCCACTCTCTTTGTTCTGCTCCTGAGTGTGTTTGAAGATGTGAGCATTCACCTTTCTGCTTGGGCTGCCTCCTGCCATGCCTGCCCTGCCACAATGGACTCAGCCCCCTGGAATCCTAAACCAAATAAACTCTTCCATCAGCTGCCTTGGCTGTGGTGTTTTATCACAGCAACAGTAGAGTAACTAAGACGTGCACTCATGGCCACCAACCACACTGACATATTTCCTACCCCAAACCTCTTTGGACCCTTGTGCTCCCCCGACTCCATCCCATGTTTCCATTGTCTCCATTCTCCATCTTCCTGGCCTCTTGTCTTGGAACTGAAGTTGATAAATTAGAAGACTTTTGTGGGTTCATACACTGGAATATTCTCCAGCTCCTGTGTGGACAGATGTTTTCATGCCTGCTAACAACACACACTTTGTGCAAACGTCCTGCCTCTATGCCCCCAAAGTCCTGTATAAGCCATGGCATCTTTGTTGAAACTCAAAGATACTCTTTTGGGCTGCACAACTGGATGGATGGATGGATGGATGGATAAATGTGTTTTATTTTCCCTTGAAGTTAGAGGAAATTTTTGGTTTTTTTAAATATTTGGGACTGGGGCTGGAGAGACAGCTCAGTGATTAAGAACACTTCTTACAGAAGACCAGGTTCAATTCCTAGCACCCACATGGCAGCCAACAGCTGTCTGCAACTCCAGTCCCAAGGGATCCGACAACCTCTTTTGTCCTCCACAGGCATTGCAGAACACGGGTGCACTTACTTACATGCAGGCAATACACACATACACATAAAAATAATACATATTTAAAAAATAAAATATTTGGGACTATAGAGATAGTTCAGCAGTTAAGAGCACTGATTGCTCTTGCAGAGGACCTGGGTTTGATTCCCAGCACCCACATGGCAGATAACAACCATCCATAACTCCAGTTCCAGGGACTCTGACGCCCTCTTCTGACCTCCATAGGCATTGTACAACATGGGTACACTTACACAGATACAGACAACACACTCATACACATAAAATAAAAGTAACCAAAAAAGTTGTTTTTTTTTTTTTGGTCTTTTTGAGACAGGGTCTCCCTGTAGCCCCAGGCTATCCTGGAACTCACTATGTAGACCAGGTTGGCCTTGAACTCACAGAGATCCACCCACCTCTGCCTCCCAAGTGCTGGGATTAATGGTGTGTGCCACCACAACTTGTGTAGTAAATATTTAAATTTTTTAAATGTTTATTTTTATTTTTATGTATACAAGTGTTTTGCCTGCATGTATGTAAATGTACCATATGTATGCAATGCCTTTCAGTGGCCAGAAGAGGGTGTCAGATCCCCTGGAACTGAACTTGTGGATGGTTGTTAGCATAGTGGGTGCTGGGAATTGAACCTGGGTCTTCTGGAGGGACAGCAATTGTTCTTAACCACCAAGCCATCTCTCCAGATCCTAAAGGAAATTCTTGTAAGCATAGCTTATGAATTTGATGCTATTACTTCATAACAGACACTTCAAAAGTTAGTGATGTAAATGATAATTATTACCTACCATGGTGTCTGTGGGCTAGAAATTCAGGCAGAGTTAGCTAAATGTAGTATATTGGTTGATTTCAAGGTCAGCCTGGGCTATATAGTGAGACTCTGTCACCAAAAGAAGGGAGAGAGGGAGGGAGGGAGGGAGGGAAGGAGGAAGGAAGGAAGGAGAGAAAGAAAAAGAAAGAAAGAAAGAAAGAAAGAAAGAAAGAAAGAAAGAAAGAAAGAAAGAAAGAAAGAAAGAAAGAGAAAAAAAAAATCAGATATTAAGGATCATTTCTAGGACTGCAAAAGACTCAAAACCTGGGATTGGAATCATAGGAGAACT